AGCAGCATTTTGCTTTCAAATTTCAAATGGTATATAATGGAAGCCAATAGCTTTTATGTTTTAAACATTATCTGAACCCATTTACTATCAATACTTAATCTCCATTCAAATTACATTGTTTAATTTTACAGCATCTAACATAACAGAAGTAACAGGGGTTTAGCCAAACTATTGCCACATTTTCTCTTAAGTGACTTGTCTGAAGATGCTTAGCCACTTATCCAAGTCAGAGCAAGTCCTCTGCACCTTGTGAGATCGTTGTACTGCTAGTTCTGCAGCCACACAGCTTGATGACAGCTGCGTTCCATTTTCCACTGTGGGAATCTAGCAAAGTCAGCAGTCTCCTGGGAGGGATGCCTCCAAACACACGGTTCAAATAATCTTGACTTAACTCTACATTATTGGAACTAACCCTCCAATATCACCCCCCATCCTCCACAGAATATGAAAAGGTTACCTCAGGTAACAATAGTGTTGTACAACAATTTCTGACTCTTTTTTTAGTGTCATTCTGATGTCAACATAATTTTCCTTAGACCAGATTTCAACTCAGAGTGTTCATACATTCCGAGTCAGATAGTCACGGAGTTTCTCATCCACAGAATTATAATTCTGTTGTGCGAGTTCTGACACTGACTTTCCTTGCATTTTGTTTGCAATAGTATCTGCATATTTTTTCCAATTTTGTTTTTGTTAAACATTTGTTCGAATATTTTGATTTTTGTTTCTATTTTAGCCAACAAATAGCTGATGTGAATAACGTTTTGGTGACCTGACATTACATCTGATGCATGCAGTATACTTAAACCTGCAAAGGAAGTCCAGCACACAGATGTTGCATTTTTTGACGGACCTGGAACATGGAAAGAAGGTTGCTCAGACATGCCTGGCAGAGGTTGGTAATCGTGAGGACGTCGGATCTTCAAAGACTGACCCTGGAAGATGATGCCATCGAATGCCATGGCTTGTGTAGTTTCATCAACTGAACGGAACTAGAAAGACCAGAAGTAGAAGATACCATGTTTATTAAAAAAACACAATACAGACAATGAAACATGATACACTTTATTGCTTTTAGATGGTGCAGATCTGACCTGAAGAAATATTCTAGATGTTGATAAATATCTGACTTTTATACAGGGAGGTAAAAGAGAAACTTAAGGATAATTCATCCCAATCCTTTAGCAATGTTACATTTTCCATAGGAACCAATAACTTTTGAAAAGACATTCAATACATTTTACATAGTCATACTCAACAGAAACAGGCCCTTTAGTCCAACTCATCCTCGCTGACCAGACATCCTAATCTGACCTAGTTCCATCTGCCAGCATTTGGCCCATATCCTTCTAAAACCTTCCTATTCATATACCCATCCAGACCCCTTTTAAATGCTGTAGTTTGCCTGCTTCCACCACTTCCTCTGGCAACTTGTTCCATACACGCACTAAACTCATCGTGAAAAAGTCACCCTTCAGGTCCTTTTTAAAATCTTTCCCCTCTCACCTTAAACCTATGCCCTCAAGTTGTGGGAGTCCAAAACTAAAGTAAAAGACTTTGGCTATTCACCCTATCCATGCCCCTCATGATTTTATAAACCTCTATAAGGTCACCCTGCAGCCTCCAACGCTCCAGGGAAAATAGCCCCAGCCTATTCAGCCTCTCCCTATAACTCAAACCCTGGCAACATCTTTGTAAATCTTTTCTGCACCCTCTCAAGGTTAACAACATCCTTCCTGGAACAAATGATTAAAAGCATGCGTAAGGAGGGTGTATTTTAAAACTTAAATACAAAACAGTCCCCTTTTTTCTTTAGCACCATCAAAAACACATTTCACAGAGCTATTTTATGTTCTGCTTCAAGTAGATATTAAATTCTTATAGAACTAACTCAAGGAGTGTCAACTCCTGAAGACTTGTTCTCTTTTCTCAGCCCAAAAGGTTGTAATTTCTGGAATGCCTTTCATGGCCACCTAGGACAGAGTGTGTGCATTTGCTGGGGGGAAAGGTCTAAATATTTAATTAAGTTTAATAAGCTTTAAACTGAATTCTATTGTTTAAAGTCTTCCAGTGATACACTTAAGCAGTGCTCCTACACCCCACCAGTCTCGCAATAAAGGAGTTAATTAATTAAACCAACTGAAAGTCGATCCTTATTATATGACCAACCGGCCTCTTTGCTGGGAGCATACAAGGGTAGACGGATAAACCAGCTGATTGGTGAACTGAATTGGAGAGTATGTCTACTCTTTACAGTAGAAGTAAGGCCTTTAGTTTGCATTTACGATCTATTCTTTTGTTTCTCTTTTCAATGAACGTTGTTAGGTATAAGATTGATAGTGGTGTGTAAAAAAACTAAAGGAATAAAGCAGGGATACTAGAATGAGTGATTAATCAATAAATCAAACAACATACAATAGAGATGGCAGGTCAGGTGAGGCGCACAGCTATTGCAAATTGGAGCAGTTGGATGTCATCCATGCATAGCAAGTATTTGCAACTTCAGCAATTTTGGATCCAAGTTGTGGAGCTGAAGTCTGCGCTGCAGACACTGTGCGTTCCCGTAGACAAACTGCTGTAGGAGATGGTCACACCCCTCTGAATAAGTGATCCGGAACAGGGACATGCTGCAGGTGAGGCAGGCATGGGAAACCAAGGGGGTAAGCTTTCAAGGATCCTTGACCCCTGAGAGTGTCCAACAGTCAACAAGTCCTTGCAAGCCATATGGACAAGAGCACAGCCTACAGGAAAATTCAGCAAATGGACCACAGCACCATGGTATGTGGAACCAATGATGTGGGTGGAGAAAATAGAATGTAGTACTGGTAGGGGCTAGATACTGATCTCTGTAGCTGAAACAGTCTTGATGGTTGTGCTGTCTGCCTTGCATCAGGGTTAAGGACATCTCAGGGCTACAGAAGAACCTTGGGGGTGGGGGGGCGGTGGCGGGTGGGGAGGGTATAAAGTTGTTGCCATCCACCTTGGGTACCAAAGACATTGATAGGACTAGAAAGGAGGGCTCACTGAAATATTGAACAGTTAGGAACTAAATTAAAAAGCAGAATCTCTGAGGTAATAATTTCTGGATTCTATCCAAGCAATGGGCAAAGTGAACTCGACTTTACCACATGCCAATGAACAACTCAAGGATGAGCGGGGGAGGAATGAGTTTCAGTGTTGGGATCAGCGTCTTCAAAAATTGTAGAAAGGAGTTTAAACTAAATTGTGTTAATGGTAATGGTTCGGGTTTTGTAGGGGTGGGGTCAGCTGGAGAGAGAATAGCATTCAGTTTGATGGTGCAGAAACAAGTGTGCCAAACCGAAGGGATCAGGGCAAATTTGGCTAGAGTGGGGTTTAGCACACAAGACACTTGCTGAAAAATGGAAGACATTCAAGAAAATAGTTCATTCCTCACAATGAAGAAGTATCCACATAGGGAAGGAGAATTTTAGAAAAGGGATAAACTGACCATGGTTAGCCAAAGCAGTTAGTGACTGTGCTGAACTGAAAGAAAAAAAATACAATATGGTAAAGATTATTGGTAAACCAGAGGACCAAGAAAGTTTTAAAAGCCAACAAAAGATGATCAAAAAAAACAATGAGGGAGAAAATAAATTGAGGTAAATTAGCAAAAGCAGGCAGTAAGAGATTCTTTAAATATATGAAAAGCTGTGCCTCCTGACACATCGAAAGGTTTCTTATTGCGCATGTAGAAAGTTCTGCACACTTACATTTTATGATTTGCGTTATGAAAAGGAAGACGGAGGCCAAAATGTAAATAGGCCACTTAGAGAATGAGGCCGGGGAAATAATAATGAGGAACCAGGAAATGACAAAGGAGGTGAAGAAATACTTTGCATCAGTCTTCATAATAGAGGGTATTAACAGTATCCCAAAAATGCTAAATCAAGGGGCAAAAGATAGGGGGGAAATAGGCACAATAACCATTGTTAGAAAAATAATACTAGGAAAGCTAATAAGGTTAAAGGCTGATACATCTTTTGGACATGATGGGATACATCCTAGGATACTAAAGGAAGCTACAATGATACTGGATACACTGGTAGCAATCTTGCAAAAATTCTTAGATTCTGGAAAAGCCACAGACAATTAGAAAATCGCCATTGAAACACCTTTATTCAACAAGGGAAGGGGACAATAAACAGGTCAGTTAGCTGAACATCTGTCACTGGGAAAATATCAGAGCCTATCATAAAGGATGTAATGGCAGAGCATTCAGAAATCCATAATATAATTAAGCAGAGTTCACATCACTTCATGAAGCTGAAATTATGCTTGACAGATTTCGAATTTGTTGAGATGGTAATAAGAAGGGTAGATAAAGGGAAACAAGTAGATGTAACATATTTAGACTTCTAAAAGAGAAGGTATTGCACAAGGCTATTTAATAACAGCCCATAGTGTTGATGGTAGTACATTAGCACGAAGAGAGGATTGGATAAATAACAGAAGACAAGAGTTGGGATAAACGTGGCGTTATCAAGAATGCTACCTGTAGTTAGTGGATTGTTGGAGTTCAATGCTGGGGAAACAATTATTTATAATACATATTAAATAACTTGGATGAGGAAAGTGAGTGCAACCTTATTGAAACATACAAGATTCTTGGGGACTTACAGGGTAGATGCGCAGAGGTTGTTTATCCTTGTAGGACAGTCTCGCACCAGAGGGCATAACCTCAGAGAAAGGGGTTACCCATTTAAAACCGAGATGAGGACAGTAGTGAATCTGTGGAGTTCTTTACACCAGAGAGTTGTCAAGGCTGGTTCATTAAGAATATTCAAGGCAGAGACAGACAGAATTTTTAATCAGCAAGGGAATCAAGGTGTATTGGGAAAAGGCAGGAAAGTGGAATTAAGGATAAGATCAGCTATGATGTCACTGAATGGCAGAGCAGATTTGATGATCTGAATGGCCTACTTCTGCTTCTACATCTTGTATCTCTTCTCCCTTTCTCCAGCACTAGTTGAATGAAACTTCCAGCATTGTTTCAACTCTTCACGAATGTGGTCTTTTCAGCCAAGTGAGAGCTCCAATTCACGTTGGTGTGTGGAAATCCATGGCATTTTGCTGCTTGTAACTGCTTTCCCTTTTCCAGATCCTGCTGTGACTTTTCAAATATCTCTTATATCTTCCCTTCTTAAAGCCCAGTAATCACATTAGCCTTTATATCCAGGGAGGAATGCTAATTAGCTACCTGGGATACTCTAACATTCACATCTGAGAATCCAACATTTTTAAACTTTGGATACTCTCAGGTTATCCATTTTAGCACCGAGGTTGGCTGGCTTGTCTCTAAGTACGGACACCCTGCACTTACTTCCCAGTACAACAATCTAGGCCTCCTTTAATCTCTAACAAATAAATCACCCATGTTTGCTGTTATGCAGATTTCAGGGCAGGTCACATGATTCCATTCACTTCACCTCACAGTAAAGAGACAGTCCCAAATTGATGCTATAAACCTCAATTATACTGACTAGCAGAGACTTGGAATTTGTTCACCTGCCTACAGATCCTGACGACACGGGTTTTATTTTAATTTATTCATGCCTGGGATGTGTATTGTTGGCAAAGGCAGCATTCAATGCCTACTCTTCAATTTCTCTTGAACGGAATGACTTGTTCGGCTATTTTAGACTGCAATTAAGAGTCAAGTGCAATGCTGAGAGTTTGGAGTCATATGCTGACCAGACTAAGTGAGGATGGTAGATTTTCTTTCCTAAAGGACATAAGTAAATCAGACAGGTTTTCAATGACAATGACAATCTACTATGATAGTTTTAGAGTCATCATCACAGAATCAAGTTTCAATTCCAGATTTTTTTTTATCAACTGTATTTAAATTTCACCTGCTGCCAGATGGGATTTGAACCTATATTACCAAAGCATTAGCCAGGGTGCCTGGATTACTGGTCCAGTGATATTATCACTATGCCCCCATCTCTAAATTGGATGCACACTGGACAGGAACTATAGACAATGAGATGGTAATGAGGTAATGAAATTCTTAAATAAAGCACTTTTTAAAATGTTGGAGGAAGTCACTTTATAGGTGGTTAGCAAATAATGGAGCAAATACACCGCATTCCCACAACTGTTAATAATTCATCAATTGTTCTCAATATTTCAATTTTCCTCCAATAATGAATCTATACAAGATTAGCAGCGTTACTGCCCGAAACTGATTTGAGTTCAAACTCAATTGAGCAGCTCAGTTCAACCATTCAACTAGATAACTGCTCATCATTTCAAATATATATTGTTCTTCATTTTAACATGCACCTGTTTTCAAAAGAATTAACCCAATACATAGTATGATGAATTATCTATTTGATAGCAGCTTTCCTCTCAAAAATAAGGATTAACAATTATCACTCGACTCGAACATGTTTTTGTGCCAATGAAGTAACTAATAACTCACTCTATCCAAAGAAAGAAAACTGGGCAATGAAGATAAAAATTTATTTTGGAAATAATTAGGTAGAGACTGAGGCAACAGACTTACCTCCAGAAAAGCAAAGTTTTTATCTTGGTTGATTTGCACAGCCAATACAGGGTTCCCTGGAGCCTGTGACAACCCAGCAAGACGCATCTGAGCATTAAAGAAGTCTGCCATGGCTTCCTAAGGGCATAAAGGGTATTGGTAAGACACTTTAGATCTGTTAGGAAACACCACCGTAGCATGAATATAATTGCCTTTCCCACATTTTGCCATCAACACAAAATCAACCCATATCAGCTCAAGGATACATGATTCTACATACTTAAAATTAAAATAGAATAATTAGTTCTTCTGACAATCTAAATAGATTGCTAGTGACGAAATTACAATTTACTAAAGGCATCGAAATAGTTCAAGTGGCTGTTTGTGTCCGCTCCAACTTATACCCCACTGTATCTGTTGAAAAGGTAATGGTGTGGGGAGTATTCTATGGGTACTTTACATGTGCACACCTTGGCTGTTAGCATTGGAAGGTCTATTTGATTATAGGAAGCATCAGAATTGCATGCAATTCTACACCTGTGTATACTGGTTTGACATCAGGCATATGCTCATTTCTGGTAAGGCTTGTTCAGATATCACCTATGAAAGAAACCTGGGCTGAATAGTCTATCCTGAATTTAAAGATGTTATATGAAATCTAATCAGCTAGATTCTCTCACAATATGGCATTTTGATCCATGAAGAAATCGTGGTTGTGCTCGCGTTTCTGTGGTGGAGGGGGGGTAGTGTTGAGGAACAGGGAGCTATGAAGACTGTCTTGGAATGTTGTTAATCTCATCACATCTTACTCCCATTACAGCAAAGCATTAATCTTTTAAAGACAGAACAATTAAGGCACAGGGTCATACAAAGTATAGCAATCTTAATACCTTGCCTTATGTCCATTCTGCTCACACTAAATTTTCACCAATTTACAATGATCTGTCCATGCTTCACCTAAAATTTTTATATCTTATTCCCTTATTCCCTTATTACCCTATCCCCAGCCACAGAATTCTTTGCTCCTCTGACTCACCTTTTCAATCTTTGTTTCCACTATTCAAATCTTTGTCTTTAGCTGTACTGGTTCCAAGTTCTGGAATTCCTTTCCTAAATCAATCCAATTCTACATCTCCCTCTCCTTCTCCAAGTATAAGCCTTGGTTCAGTAGCATTTCTAAAACCGTGGTTTTAAGCCCATCACCAGAGACTTCAGCAAGGAATATAGGATGACATTTTAGCACAGTACAAAAGAAGTCTTGCACCATTGTGTGGGTTTCCTCCAAGTGCTCCGGTTTCCTCCCATAGTCCAAAGATGTGCTGGTCAGGTGGATTCGCCATGCTAAATTGCCCATACTGTTCAGGGATGTGCAGGCTAGGTGGATTAGCCATGGGAAAAGCAAGGTTACAGGGATAGGGTGTGGGAGGTAGGTCTGGGTGGGGATACTCTTCGGAGGGGCTGTGTAGACTCCATGGATTGTCTGGCCTGCTTCCACACTGTAGGATCCTATGAATCTATCTGCTTTTAGATAAGGAGATGCTAATCTGAACAGGGAAATTTTCCTGGTGCCCTGGCCAACTCAGAGCTTACAAATGGACAGTTATGTTTCTAACAGTAAAATGCAATTCAACTTCAAAAAAAGTGCTTGGAAATATCCCGACATGGAAAGTCACTATAAAAATGCATGTCTTTCTTCCTTTACAATTATTCCTATTATTGTAACATTTCATTTAAGTTAAACCCTGACAAAATCAGGAAACCATGAAGCCTAATCTTTATTTCTCAGTTGAAAAATGACAGGCTGAGCCTTTCAGCCTCTAGTGCTCACAAATGTGTTCCTCCAGAATTTTCTCTGGAATCTTGATCCATCCACATAGCATCTTCTTTCAGGTTATTTTAATGAGAACTATTATTGTTGTATCAATAAGCCAAACCAACATTAAGGCAGTAAAATTAAACTTTGCACTTGCCTCTGTGACACCAAAAGGTATGTTCCCAACATACAGTCGCCTGGCTTGCCTGGTCATTTGGCTACCAATGATTGGAACTTGCGTTGGTGTGATAGTCACACCACCTACTGAGGAGGTCGCCAACAGTGCTGTGGCAGGGATCTGACCTGCAGCTAAGAAAAACAGAGGGAGACACACAGATTTTTTCATTACTGCAATATGGATGTGGTCCCTAAAAAGCAACAGCACACAAGTCAGAGCATCATGTAACTATCTTACTAAATTCAAAACAATAAAATGGAAGAATATACCTTGCATTGCCTTGTACTGCATTGGGGTAATGTGCTCAAAACCTGGAGGAGGCACATCCCAGTACCTGTAGGGCTTCTTTCTCCGAGACCGACGGGGAGACCGACTGTAGGAAGATAGCAAACAAAACTTGCAATTTTTAATGCTTTGAGAGAGAAAAGTATGCTACTGAAACATCAGAAGTTACATCACATCCTGGACAGCAGTGACTTTGATCTGTGATTTGAAATATTCATCACATGCTACAGAATTTCACTGAAATGGTAAATTTTAAAAGGAAGTTTTCGATCCTGTAATAATTTTTGCTTGCAGCAGATATCACCACTATTCTGTCTCAGAAAAGCAGCATAGGAACAGGAGTAGGCCGTTCAGCCCCTTGAGCCTGTTCCACCATTCTATGACATCACGGCTGATCTATGAGCTAACTCCACGTACCTGCCTTTCACCCATATCCCTTAATACCTTTGCTGAATAAAAGTTTACCTATCTCAGATTTAAAATTAGCTGATCAGACATCCATTGCCATTTGTGGAAGAGAGTTCCAAACATCTGCCAACCTTTGTTGTATAGAAGTGCTTCCTAATATCTCTCCTGAATGATCTGGCCCCAGTTCTAGAATCCCCAGTCACGGGAAATAGTTCATCTTCATATAGCCTGTTTTCCCCTGTTAATATCTTGAAGGCTTTGATCAGATCACCTTTTAACCTCCTAAATTCCAGGGAAAACAGCCCTAATTTGTGTAACTTAACCTCTGAAGTTTTTTTTAATTTCACTCATGAGACAGGCGTGTCACTGGCTGACCAGGATTTATTACCAGTCCTAACTGCCCTCGAAAAGGTGGTGGCGGCGAGCTGCCTTTTTTAACTGCTGCAGCCCATGTGCTATATGTAGATCCACAGGGGGAGAATTTCAGGAGTTTGACCCAGCAACAGTGAAGGAATATATTTCCAACTCAGGATGGTGAGTGGCTTGGAGGGAAACCTGCAGCTGGTGGTGTTCCTATGTATCTGCTGTCCTTGTCCTTCTAAATAGTAGTGGTTGTGGGATGGAAGGTGCTGTCTAAGGATTTTTGGTAAGTTTCTTAAGTGCATTTTGCAGATAGTACACACTGATCTTGTGGAGAAAGGAGTGGATTCTTGTGGATGTGGTGCCAACCAGTGGGCTGTTTTATATTGGATTGTGTCAAACTTCTGGAGTGTAGTTGGAGCTTCATTCATCCAGGGGAGAGATGAGCTTTCCACCACACTCCTGACTTGTGCCTTGTAGATGATGGAAGCTTTGGGGGGCCAAGAGGTGAGTTACTCACCACAGTATTCCTAGCCTCTGACCTGCTGTTATAGCCACTGTATTTATATAGCTAGTTCAGTTGAATTTCTGGTCAATGGCAACCTCTAATATATGTTGATAGTGGGGCACTCAGTGATAGTAACGCCATTGAATGACAAGGAGCAGTAGTTAGATTGTGTCTTATTTGATATCATTATTGTCTGGCATTTGTGTCATGTGAATTATTACTTGCCACTTGTCAGTCTAAGCCTAGATACTATCCAGGTCTTGTTGCATTTGAACATGGACTACTTCAGTACGAGGAGTCTTGAATAATGCTGAATGTTGTGCAATCATTGACGAACATCCCCACTTCTTACCCCAAGATGGAGGGAAGCTTAGTGATGGAGCAGCTCAAGATGGTTGGACATAGAACACTACCCTGAGGAACTCGTAGTGCTGTAATCATAGCTGAGTGGTTAAGGCAATGGATTTGAAATCCACTAGGGTTTCCCTGCGCAGGTTGAAATCCTGCCGACTTCTGAATGAGTTTCTGCAAAGATAAACAAATACCATTCCCAACACCATACCCCATTTTCTGATGTCCATTCATTTGTCTCCATTCAGGGCGATTCCAATCTGAAATGATAACAGTCAGCAGAGTTGGTTCCACCACCACTTCCTGGGAGTTTGTCTTCCCTGAAGCCTCTCTCACTCTTGGAGGTGTGTCTCTGTTTCCCTTCTGTGGGTGTCAATGAGGTTCAGGTCTCTGAGGGGAGGTGAACACGATTTCACTATTTCAGACAAGGAGAAACTCCTGCAGAGATATCGTACAGCTGAAATGACTGACCTCCAACAACCACAATCATCTTCCTATGTGCTAGGTATGACTCCAATTAGAGATTTTGCCTCCGATTCCACTGATTCCAGTTTTGCTAGGGCTCCTTAATGCCACACTCTGTCAAATGCAGCCTTCATGTCAAGGGCCATCATTCTATCCTCATCTCTAGAATTCAGCTCTTTTGTTCATGTTTGAACCAAGGCAGTAATGAGGTCAGGAGCTGGGTGGCCCTGGTGGAACCCAAACTGGGTGTCAGTGAGGAAGTTATTGCTAAGCAGGTGCTGCTTGATACAACTATCGATGACACCTTCCATTGCTTTCCTAATGATCGAGAGTAGACTGATGGGTGATAATTGGCCAGGTTGGATTTGCCCCACTTTTTGTGTACAGAACATATCTGGGCAATTTTCCACATTGTTAGGTAGATGCTAGTATTGTGGTTACACTGAAATAGCTTGACGAGGGGAGCCGAAAGTTCTGGAGCACAAGTCTTCAGTCCTATTGCCAGAATGTTGTTAGGGTCCACTATCTTTGTAGCATTCACTGCCTCCAACCATTTCTTGATACACATGCAGTGAATTGAACTGGCTGAAGACTGGCATTTGTGATGCTGGATACTAATGGAGGAGGCCGCAGTAGATCACACACTAGGCACTTCTAGCTGAAGATTGCTGTGAATACGTCAGCCTTATCTTTTGCACTGATGTGTTGAGCTCTTCCATCATTGAGAATGATGATATCTGATTGATTGATTTATTGTCACATGTACTGAAGTACAGTGAACAGCTTTGCTTACAAGCAGTACAGACAGAGCACAGTAAGCAAGGATGTACAGATTAAAAAGGCTTAGTGCATACAGATTACATTGCACAGGGCATGTGCTGGGCAAGATCAACCTTAGCAAGATCAGCATTATTTGTGCAGATGACTTCTCCTCCAGTAAGTTGTTAAATTGTTCATCACCATTCACAACTGGATGTGGCAGGACTGCAGAGCTTAGATCTGATCCATTGGTTGTGAGATCACCTAGCTCTGCCTATCACTTGCTGGTTATGCTGTTTGGCACCAAGTAGTCATGTTTGGTAGCTTCACTAGGTTCATACCTCATTTTTAGATATGCCTCGTACTGCCCCTGGCATGCCCTCCTGCACACTCCATAGAACCAAGGTTGATCCCCTGGCTTGATGGTAACTGTTGAGTGGTAGGGGCAGTGTATGTTGGATCAGGAGGTTGCAGACTGTTTAAGAGTACAGTTCTGCTGTTGTTGATGGTCCACAGGTCCTAATGGATGCCTAGTCTCGAGTTGCTAGATCTGTTCAAAGTCTGTCCCATTTAGCACAGGATAGTGCCACACAACACAAGGGAGGGTATTCTCAACGTGAAGGTAGGACAAGGATTGTGCGGCACTCACTCTTTCTAATATTATCATGGACAGATACTTCTGTAGCCAGCAGATTGGTAAGGATGAGGTGAAGTTTTTCTCTCTTGTTGGTTCCCTCAACACATGCCACAGACCTGGTCTAACATCTATATCCTTTAGGACCCAACCAGATCAGTAGTGTGGCTGCCGAACCAATCTTGGCATGGACATTTGAATACCCCAACCAGAGTACCTTGCAACACTGAACAACACCAGAGGGTGGCAATGTGGAGGTGTACTGACTCGTTAGTGAAGGAAGGATGGTGGCATGCTGCATAGTGGCTCAGTGGTTAGCACTGGTGTCTCACAGTGCCAGGGACTTCGGTTCAATTCCAGCCTTGGGTGACTGTGTGGAATTTGCATGTTCTTCCTGTGTCTGCGTGGGTTTCTGCCAAGTGCTTCGGTTTCCTCCCACAGTCCAAAAATGTGTAGGCTAGGTGGATTAGCCATGGTAAATGTAGAGTTACAAGCATAGGTGACGGGTCTGTGTAGGATGCTTTTTGAAGGGTCAATGCAGACTCGAAAGGCCAAATGGCCTCTTTCTGCACTGTAGGGATTCTGTGGTACGTGGTAATCAGCAGGTTTCCTTGCCTATGTTTAAGCTGATACCATGAAACTTCATTGAGTCTGAAGTCAATGATGAGAACTCCCAGGGCAACTCCCTCCTTTTACCACCATGCATCATGGAATCTTTAGTGTCCAGAACACTTAATGGAGGACAATTAAGATTCTTACTATAAATAGTATCATATAAAATTTGATTTATATATTTTCCAAGCACCTGAGGGAACTTGGTCTTGAAGGAGTCATATTTGGACCAGATGGAATATAATGCACGTTACTCAAAACAAAATATTTTAAAAGGTAAGTAGTGTTTTAAACTAATACTTCACGTAGCTATCCTGCTGAACTCTATGTCTTACCAGATGGTCAATTTCTTCTGCGTAATTCCCAAGTTCTTGGATATAACTCTTTTGCAGTCATTTTAATGAGAATGGCTGCTGCAATGAAGATTGCAATAGTTCGCTTAGATTTAAGCAATACTATCAAAAAATATTTCCCTTTGGATACAGTTCTCCGTTCTGATTCAGCCAAAATAGATAGCATTAGGATCATCATCTTTTCTAAAGGTGAGCAGCAACCAGCTTGACACGTCTATCCATCAAAATCTTCTGCAACTTCTCTACATACTCAGAGCAGTCACTTTTATAAAGGCTGTACAGCCTCGTCAAAAGTGTAATAATTGAGCAATTTTCACTTTGTTAACAGGTTCACGATTGGCTTCAAGGTCTACAAATTGCCATTGCCACCAAGTACTATATCATGTCGGGATGCACAGAAGATTGAGTGGAAGTCTGCTGCCATTTTGTTATAGGTGAAAAAATTACTGACTTGTTTTGACACCAGTAGCCAGGAACGCTCTAGCCCTTATCTAACAGTCAGTCATTTCATCCACCTGACTATGCACGAATCATTTCTGGACTAGAGGATTACATTAGGGTTAGCAGTACTAATTAAGAATTCTAACCAGTCTGATTCTGTTACAAAGATTCAACATTATGACAGAAACCTAAATCTG